CTATTTGCGAAGTTTAGCTCAGAATAGGAAAGAGTGGAGTCTTAGGACTGACGACCTTATGATAATGATGATTACAACTACAACAATTCCTCATTTTCATTCAAATCTACTATAAATTCTGTAACGAACTCCATCTGATTTCAATTTGTTTGAATTGAATGTAATGTTAGCATCAATAACAAAGAACAAGGAAATAAAACAATAGTAACATTTCACAGAATTTATTCATATACTAGACACTTTTCTTTCGGACAGTTTACTACAGTGAAGAGAAAAGATTAACAATATTATTTACTTTACTAGACTCGACAGACCGAATCTGTTGGTTTTTCCAACACTTCATAAGAAACGTTACTACTGCTTTCTTTTTTTTTTTTTATCTTTGATGCGAATATGCAGTTTCGTCTGCAATGGTTTGAATGATGTCCTTATTTATAGTTAGCTGTCTCTTTCGCATGCTTGACTGTTTTCGTCAAAGCTGGTTTCGAACCAATAGACATCTACGGTGATCATGACGATGGTCAGTGGCATGGCGAGGGATGGCTAGAAAGTCAGAGTCACGGTGTTGTTCACGCTGCCGTTCCAATTGCCGCAGTGGCTTACGGCGCTCACGGTCATGACGATGGACAATGGCACGGTGAAGGATTGTTGGAAAGTCAAGATCATGAAGCTCATGGGGCACTTCACGTTGCTCATGCTATCCCTGTTGCTCATCACGTTGCTGTACCTCATCCTATCCCTGTTCCAGTACCTCACGCATTCCCAGTTCCCGTTGCCCATCATGTTCCAATCGCTCACGCAGTGCCAGTAGTTCATGCTTCCCATCATGGTCATGGTCACGGTTTTTCCGCATCCGTAGCAGGACCTTCTGGTCATGTCGCAACCCATAGTTAAAATGTACGACTTTGTTTATATTGGATTTAAAATAAATGATTTAATATTGTTCGTTCTGATTTCCTTTAATTTTTCTTTTTCGTATACTAATGCACTACTTAGTAAGATATCAGAACTAAAGAAGTCCGTTAAATAGAAACGTCGTTACTTCAAATAATTGCGGATAGATAATACAGTAAATTTAGGCACATTAATCTCAAAACGGCTTGACGTTCTCTCAGCCCTATGCATTAATTACTGTCAATGATAGAAATATTAAAAATAGAAAGAGGAGACTGTGGTAAATATTAATTAAAAATTAAAAGAAATACTCACCTCTTATCTCGCGTTGATAATGCCCACGTATGAAGTGGGCGAAACACGTGTCCGTTCATATAAAATTATTTGTGGTAATTAGGGGTGAGTATTCCTTTTAATTTTTAATAGAAATATTATTTTATCTTCTTCTATAGTAACAGTTTAAAACAGTTTACTTCCAAAATGAAAAAGTAACAAAAATTTGTCATTCAAATTTTATTTACGTCAATATATACACATATATATCAATATCTGTGCGATTTACAAAATCAATGTAAGCGCACTATTCCGTGCCTCTCAAGATCTTGACTTTCCAAAAGTCCTTCCCCATGCCATTGGTCGTCGTCTCGTAAATTGTAAGCTAAACCTGGTGGAGGTAAAGGAACTCCGGGCACAACCGGTGGTAGAGGTGCAACATGTCCCGCTGCCCAATCTTGACTTTCCAAAAGACCTTCCCCATGCCATTGTCCATCATCGAGAGCTCGAACAGCTACAACCGGAGACGGAAAAGGTAAACCTGGAGCAGGAACTACTGGAGGAGGTAATGGTACAGCTCGGGCAGCTACAACAGGTGGGGGAAATGGCACTGCTGGAGCAGGAATAACTGGAGGGGGTAATGGTACAGCTCGTGCAGCTACAACTGGATGTTGAAGGGGAGCAACATGAAGAGATTCAAGATCCTGACTTTCCAAAAGGCCTTCTCCATGCCACTGTCCATCATCTACGACGCTGTGAACGTTAACTATCCCACTTGCTCTCGCAAGTGCAACCAAACATCCAAGGAATATGGAAACCTGAAACACATGACATTCAAAGTCACTTCAAATGAAAAGTTAAGTTTATAGGTTTTCTTGTTAGACGTAAAAATTGTTACCCACTATTTTCATTGTTCTTATGATGTATTAAATGAATTGGTTTCCTTGACAATGAATCTTTTTGTTATTAGACTTACCACAATTTTCATTTTGCTACTTTTTTGACTAGAGAACTTGAAACACTAATACTGCTGAATCTTTCGACCGGACTTAAATACGAAATTTCTGACCTCCACTATCAGTCATAGCTGACAATGCCCACTTGTACAGGAAGACAGCAACAATCAGCTTTGGTCACCAAAAATTCCTGTGTGATTGATAAGCAATGTATGAGACAGGGTTGGGCATTGGCAAAACATTATTGCAAGAAAATTAGTTGCATAGGTTAACAACTTACGGTTTTAATATGCATACGAACTTGACATTTGGCTTAGAACGTTTCTTGGGTCATTTTAAACACTTATTTTAAATACAAATACAGTTTTACAGTTTTAATAAAAAAACTCATGTCATTATTATTGATTATATTGTGAAAACATTTTATTAGAGTATTTCAATTTTTATCCGTGTATAAAAAACTATTTCTGAAAAATTCAAGTGTATAATTACAAATTTAAGAATCTAATTTATAAGGAAGATTAAATAGTTGTATA